TGAAATAAATGCAATTTTAAAGTTTTAATTATTATTTAAACATATTAAAAAGTTTTACGCTCATTATTAATAGAGATTGAAACTAAATATTTTTTTGTTTCGAAGTTGAAATCAAGGCATATTCACTGCCAAAAGTCAGTTAAAAATTTTCCATATTATTCGTTATATCTTATTTTATTCAAAGTTTTTGGTCAATTCCAAATTTTCTCTCAAACCGTATACTTTTTCTTGTGTATAGATAGTATTTATTTACCTCATGATATGCTGCAAAACCTAATTAATCACGAATTTCTAATTTTATGTACTCTTGGCTCCGATTGTACCTCCCAAACATCCTTAATAATAAAGTTATTGTAAATTAGCCACAGAAAAAAAAACAATAACACAGTGATATACATATTTGATGGTAGAATTAACAGCAATCGCCATAGCAGTTGGCTGTCTTGCTTGCATCATGGAGAAAGTTGAAATATTTACGGATCACATGATAGGTACCACATAGCGTGCTTATTGTGCGATAGTAGATCGTGGCATTCACCTTCAGTTATTGCGATTCTTTTATACGATATGACGAAAGATGCTTACTTTCAAGAGAACGTCTGCAACAACTACATTTCCATCATATCGGATATCCCCTAGTCCCTGATTATGTTTCGCTCAATTATGATCTTTTTTAACTCCTATACATAAACCCAAATATTACTAGAACATGCCAAAGCTTGGTATGGTTTGTAACCCTTTGAATATTAAAAAAAAAGTAGGTCAAGTACGCCATACTTGCGTGATTACCGCTCCGTACCATTTATTTCTTAGCATGTATTACATTCTTTGAAAACTAATTTGATTTTTGATGATTGTGACGAAACTAACAAATTTGCATTCCGGCTGGTATAAAATATCATAGAGATACGTTCCTTTCTTGAAGAAATTTGATTTTGAATAAATATTGTAAAAGAATATGAGGACGAAGGTCCCATTACATAGAAGAAGGTGAATGAGGATCAGGATTTACGTTGGCATCTTTGATTGGGTTTGCTCTGATAGGGAGATACATTCGAGTTCGCTTCGTTGTTTTAGTTTGACAAATAATAGTATTAAAGATTAAAGGATATGGCTTGTTACGTGGACGACGGGGGGTCAAAGGTTCATGAATTTTGCTTTGCGTAATTGTAGAAGATGTATTAGAAAGAATAGGAGAACAGAGGACTCTATGGAAGTCAATAAGAAATAGGTTGGTAGGACACCTTCTGAGGAATGACGGTCTAGTCGGAGACATATTAGAGGCAGAAATGGGAGTTAGGTGGGGTAGACATAGACCTAGATTAGATTACAGTTAGCAAATAGTTAGGGATGTTAGTTATTCTAGTTTTAGGGAAATGCGAAGATTAGCTCAGTATAGCAAAGAGTGAAGGTACGTGTCCAACCAGTCTTAGGACTGACGACCTTATGATGATGATGATGTAATTTATGGGCAGTCCTCTTAGAAATTCCAATATAAACGAACTTTTTATTGAAACTGTTATTGTACAATTTTAATTTATTCTTAAATTCGTTCAAGAATTTCCCCATTACTTAAAGAAACGGTGCAAATTATCTATTTGTTTAGGTTTTTCCCAGCCGCGTCTTTCCGTAAAGAATCGTCCTCTACCAGGGCCCCTGGATGTGGCAGATTCGCTAAAAAGTAAACCTATTGTACCGCACGAATCCGTAACAGCTCTTGTTGGTGCTTGGAGTGAGCTTCTCCTTCATGACCTCGCGAGCATCGGAAACTTGAGAAATCAAGAATGCTGCAAGAGCAAATCGATTCACCCAGAGTGCTACGGTTGGTTAGGGAATGGCCAGTGTTCAGAATATATGAGATCGCTTCCAGCAATGGATATGGATGATTGTGAATTTGGTAAGAATTGCAAAAGAAATGATTTTTCCAAAAACAAAAGAACTAAAGAGGTATTTTCTTCCAGAATATCGTAACCAAATGAACCTTGCAACGTCTTTCTTGGACGGTTCAGCAATTTATGGAAGTACAGATGCTGCAACTGACAGACTCAGGACGTACGACGCCGGTCTGGTGAACGTATCTGCATGCAGCAGTTGCAACACGAACGCTCTGTATTCAGCAATCCTAATGGAGCATAACAGAATCGCAATTGATTTGGCCAGATTAAACAGACATTGGTTGGACGAAACGCTATTTTTGGAAAGCAAAAAGATTGTTACATCTCAGATCCAACACATAACTTACAATGAATTCTTGCCGACTATTTTGGGCGAGGTAAACTTAACAATAGATAATAAGGAGGTCATCAAAAAAAGCCAATACATACATTTTCAGGTCGCGATATCACAAAGTCCACTTCAGTTGAAGTCACGAGGTCACTTTACCAATTATTCCAGCGCTAACAGGGCAGGGATATACAACGAAGTTGCTATGACAGCTCTACCTGCTCTACTCTCCATGTTACCCACTTCATTGGTACGTTTTTTTAATTACCCGTTTCACACCAATTCAAAACTTATTAATAAAATAATTTAGATGAATGAAACAGCTGAAAGTTTTGCCGGAATGATCGATCTCCTCATTGGGACTGCTTCACAAAATCCTACCATGAACATGATCGTGCCTCTTCGAAACGACTGGGACACTGCTTCCTTATTGATCCACATGGGCAGAGACCACGGAATCCCATCATACCCAGCCTACGCAGAATTTTGTCACAATGTTACTATAACAACATTTGACGATTTGAAGTTTACAAGGATACGTCCTGATAACATTCGTCTGCTCAAAACGTTATATAAGTATGTAGAAGATTATTTTGAAGTGTTAGAAACGAATTTTCAATAAAAATATTTTAGATCGCCCTCTGATATCGACCTTCTAACTGCATCGATATTGGAAGAACCCAAATCAGGAGCTTTGGTTGGACCTACGTTCACATGTCTCTTAAAATATCAGTTCACTTTACTGAGAAATTCTGATCGATTTTGGTACGAAAATGATTTGCCTCCGAGTTCTCTGACTAACCAGCAATTAAAGGAAATCCGAAAAGTCACCGTTGCCGGGCTTCTTTGTGCCAATACCGAAGGATTAAACAGCATCCAACCGAAAGGTTTTGTTTTAGAAGATCCCTATCTGTAAGTTCTAATCATGAAATCAAAACTAATTAGAATTCTACCATTTTTATTTCCATTTCTCTAGAAATGCCCGCATTTCTTGCAATCAGCATCCAAGTATTAATTTGACTCATTGGATCGAAATGGATCACATGACCGATCTTTCGGAAGATATTCTGATGATGGCCCTTGCAAAGGCAGAACAGGAAGTGCTTCAAAGAAGGAAAATGGAATATGAAGTCTGGTCAACCAGTAAGTGAACTTGCAATCGTTTATTTTGACAATACTAATCAATTTTGATTTTAGTTGGTGGTGTCGATCCCAAATCTCCCTCTGGAACAGCAGCTTCTTTCAGTAAACCAAACAAGGCAGCACTCAGGCTGGCCAATTCCTCTTTGCTCCTCGAATTTGCTTCAAATGAAATAATCAATTCTCTCATGTAAGTAATGTTTTTTCTTATATTTTTACGATTGCTATAAATTTAGAAAATACTACAAATGGCGCAGTAAACGCCATCTGTAGCCCTGATTTCGATCTTTTTGGATCATCAGCGCGTCGCAGGCAGCTCCGACAGAACACAGACCAACTTTTACCTGTTGTCTTAACAGTGCGTTTTATAAAATACTACAAATGGCGCAGTAAACGCCATCTGTAGCACGATGCTACATTTTAGGATTACGTATGCTCCAACAAGGTCCACTTGTGTGGATATCTACTTGCTGAAAACGAATCCCGGCGTAGCCAACCTCAACGTGATAGGCACGTTAGCTTAATCGAATAAAATAATTCGAAGTGGTCTGTATTCTGTCGAAACTGCCAGACGCGGATCGCGATTTCGATCTTTTTGGATCTCATCAGCGCGTCGCAGGCAGCTCCGACAGAACACAGACCAACTTTTACCTGCTGTCTTAACAGTGCGTTTTAGAAAATACTACAAATGGCGCAGTAAACGCCATCTGTAGCACGATGCTACATTTTAGGATTACGTATGCTCCAACAAGGTCCATTTGTAGTATTTTCTAAAACGTAGTGTTAAGACAGCAGGTAAAAGTTGGTCTGTGTTCTGTCGGAGCTGCCAACGACGCGCTGATGAGATCCAAAAAGATCGAAATCGCGATCCGCGTCTGGCAGTTTCGACAGAATACAGACCACTTCGATTTATTTTATTTTATTGTTATAATTGTATTTTGAACAGGAACAAACGTAGGAAGCGTCAAATTCTAGACAACAACCTCCTTTCTGCAGTTTTTCGGGACGAATTATCTGACGGATTACAGAACGTTGATGTTACGTCAATATTGTCAGCTCACATCTTCGACGTTGAACCGGAATGCGAAGATGACGGGCCCTGCGATCCTAGTTCGCCATTCAGAACACTTTCGGGACATTGTAACAATCTACGACATCCTTCGTTTGGTAAAAGTCTTACCACGTTTGCCAGACTGCTACCAAGTGCTTATGATGATGGTGAGATACCTTTTCCTTTTGATTTTTGTAAACTGTGACCAATTTGGTTCTTTCATTTTCTCGCAGGTATTTCAGCACCTCGTATTCGTGGAGCCACTGGTGCTCTTCTCCCATCCCCTCGTATAGTATCCATGGTTATTCATCCAGACATTAGCAATTTACATTCGAGATACACATTGATGACGATGCAGTACGCCCAATTCTTGGATCACGATCTCACCATGACACCCATCCACAAAGGTATGTTAAATAAGTAATAAGAATTGTCCCCTGTTCTTGACGTTACATTTTGAAATATATTTTCAGGTTTCCACGAATCGATTCCCGATTGTAGATCTTGTGATAGTCCTCAGACAGTTCATCCTGAATGCCACCCTATTCCTATACCTACCGGTGATGTGTTTTATCCAGAGATAAACATCACTTCCGGTCAGAGAATGTGTTTCCCGTTCATGAGATCCCTTCCTGGTCAGAAAAGTTTAGGACCCAGGGAGCAAGTGAACCAGAACACAGCATTTGTGGATGCGTCCCAGGTATGTGCTTAAGCCAAAAATGTCAAAAACTCAGTATTAATTCACGGTTTAATAACTATTTCAGGTATATGGAGAAAACAATTGTGTTCTTCAGAAACTTAAGGGTTATGGGGGAAGAATGAACAGCACCACCAATATTAGAGGTAAAGAACTACTTCCACAAAGTGATCACCATCCAGAATGTAAAGCTGCCTCCGGACTATGCTTCATTGCTGGTAAGTGTTTTATAATTACATCTATCAGATTTAGTAGGTACTTATGGAAATTTATTTTGAAGTTCATTTATGGAAAGGAAGCATAAAACTATTTAAAATTAATTTACAGTAACTAACTAATCTTTTTCCAGGAGATGGACGAGCTTCTGAACAACCAGCTCTTACAGTCATCCACACAGTATTTATGAGGGAGCACAACATTCTTGTTGAAGGTCTGAGGAAAATCAATCCCCATTGGGATGAAGAGAAGCTGTTCGAGCATGCCCGAAGAATAGTCATCGCTGAAACTCAACATATCACTTACAATGAATTTCTGCCCAGGATTCTTAGCTGGAACGCCGTGAACTTATACGGATTGAAGTTGCTGCCTCAAGGATATTACAAGGAATACAATCCATCCTGTAATCCGTCGATCGTAACCGAATTTGCGGCTGCAGCCTTTAGGATTGGTCACTCGTTACTTCGACCGCACATTCCCAGACTTGACCACAACTACCAAATTGTGGAACCACCCATTCTTCTGAGAGACGGTTTCTTCAAACCTGATATGCTACTTAGAGTAAGTAGGATCATCTAAATTGTCAATAAAAATGTTAATTCATTAATTACTTGAATTACCCACAGCCTGGTATGATAGATGAAATATCAAGAGGACTTGTATCTACTCCGATGGAAACACTGGATCAGTTTATCACTGGAGAAGTAACAAACCATCTCTTTGAAGATCGTAAAATACCATTTTCTGGAATCGATCTTGTTGCCCTTAACGTTCAAAGGGGTAAGTTAATATCTAATTGTAATCATGTGTGGAAAATACTCATCAATATAACATTGTTTAGCTCGAGACCATGGAATACCATCGTACAACAATTATAGAGCTTTATGCAACTTAAAACGTGCCACCACCTTTGACGATTTATCCAGAGAAATTCCACCTGAAGTTATATCAAGATTCAAGAGAATTTACTCGTCGGTCGATGATATCGATCTCTTCCCAGGAGGGATGAGCGAGCGACCTCTTCAAGGTGGACTTGTTGGACCAACATTCGCCTGTATCATTGCGATACAATTCAGGCAACTTCGTAAATGCGACAGATTTTGGTAAGTAACTGAACAATAAATTAATAAGTGGACTCCAACTGTACACTGAAATATACTGTTCTCCTATCTTGAGTAATTTTCACATCAATCAAACAATTTAAAAGATAATGGGAAACTTAAACCAATTGGGAAAATTACAAAAGAGTAACTAGACTTGATCAGAATTATTCCAAAGGATTTTAGTACTTACCCGTTTTGTTATAGCAATATTAGCATCTAGCAAGGAGGACCTAGAGATAGCTTTAAATAAAATGGATGTAGTATTGACAAAACAGTACTGTATGAAAATAAATAAAAGTAAAACTAAAATACTGATATGCAAGGGAAAAAAAAGTAGGGAAAGAGCGAATATAAAGATAGGAGACGAAAAATTAGAAGAAGTGGCTGATTTTAGATACCTAGGAAGTCAGATAAGTGAGGATGGAAGGAGTAGTAGGGATATAAAGCAGAGGATAGCGCAGGGTCGTGTCGCCTTTAATAAAAAGAAGTCACTTCTATGCTCGCGAACGGTTAATTTAGAAATTCGAAAAAGGTTGTTAAAGGTGTATGTTTGGAGCACGGCGTTGTACGGGTGCGAAACATGGACAGTGGGAGCGGCGGAAAAGAAAAGGTTAGAAGCGTTCGAAATGTGGTGTTATAGGCGGATGATGAGGATATCGTGGGTAGAAAAGGTTAGAAATGAAGAGGTATTGGAAAGAATAGGAGAACAGAGGACTCTATGGAAGTCAATAAAAAATAGGCGAGATAGGTTGGTAGGACACCTTCTCAGGCATGAAGGTCTAGTCAGAGACATATTAGAGGCAGAAACAGGAGTTAGGAGGGGTAGAGGTAGACCTAGATTAGATTACTCTTCGCAAATAGTTAAGGATGTGGGTTGTTCTAGTTTTAGGGAAATGCGAAGTTTAGCTCAGGATAGGAAAGAGTGGAGGTACGTGTCCAACCAGTCTTAGGACTGATGACCTTATGATGATGATGACGATGACCCATTTTGTCCAACTACCTATAAGTTTTTCATTGGTCATCATCATATTAGATCAAAAAAAGCACTTAATTTTAATTCGAATTATCCATTTCCACAGGTACGAAAACGAAGATCCTGCAATCAGATTTACTGAAGCTCAGTTGGCTGAAATAAGGAAAATCACTTTGGCTAAAATTTTCTGCCAAAACATGGATACAAACGTAGAAATGCAACGGGCAGCTTTTGACTTGCCATCAAACTTCCTCAACCCCAGAATAGACTGCAGGGCCATACCAGGAATCGATCTGAGCGCGTGGAGAGATTCACCAAGTGGAGGATGCATCATTGGAGATAGACAAGTGGCAGTAGGACAGTCTGCATTCCCGTCACCATGTACCAGTTGCATCTGTACTGAGGAAGGCGTAAGTATTTTATTCCATTTGTCATTTTAAAACCCTCGTCAGGCTAAATTGTAATTAATTTAAGGATTTAATAGAACAGCAAAGACAATTAATTCTTCAGCTAGGTACAGCATTGAATAATTTGATGACAAAAACTCATTTTAAGTTTCAAGGACATTTTTATTTGACTTATCTAATTCACAAGAATATTTTTTCATCATACTATCTCTGCACGATGTTTTTATAGTCAAATTATTTGTCAATTACAACAATTAAAGGCCTCCAACATTGAAACATTTTGTCCCCATCTCCAAAAATTCTGACAATCCCAAAAACTGTTGGAAAAACTTTAGGAATCTCTATCTTTGTCATAATGTTAGTTGTACTAATATAGTTTCAAAAAGAAAAGGGAAAATATGTTGGATTGGTACCACAACTTAACATACTCCTTCAAAATGTTCATGCAAATGTTTTTGAGTAGGTACCAACTTTCTGGACAAGCAAAAATAGACCATTTATTGTCCAAAAAGTAACAGGGTGTATTTTAATTTTGTTATCTTTAAAAGGGTCAATGTGCATCATTGAGGGTAACTGACTGCAACCAGTTAATGAGAGAGTGGTCAAGGGAAGCAGTTTTGAGGGATGACGTCTGCACTGCACAGTGCGGTTTTCTCCTACGGGGTAGTCGGACATCACGACCTGGACTTAATATAAATCTGACACCGCCACCCCCTCGAGGAGGTGGAAGGAACAAGGGATTCCTAGGTGCTCGTGTTAGCGCATTTACTTCGTCAGCTGCTTTTGCTGACTTCAAATTCCCAGATTTAACGGAATTCATTGTTTCGTAGTGAACCTTGAAGACCAAAACTCTTTAAATGAGTGACTGATTTATAAATATCGTAGGTACATGTACGTATGAATTAACGACAAGTGAGACTAACAATTTGCAAGATGTCGCAAATGAAGAAAAATCGATGGCCATATAATTAATAATAAATTTTCGAAAATAAAACAATTCATTTCTCAGACAACGAATTTTCGATATATTAAAAGTGTCTTCAAAGATAAACTCAATAGCGCCAATGTATTAATTAATTAATTTCGTCTTTTTTTCTGTTCTGATATCACAGTAGGTACCATATTCCTTATTAGATACACAAATTTAGCAAACAAATGAAAGAAAAGATTGCAATTGTCGAATTTTAACAATCAAATAAAATAGAAACATTTTGTTTCTTAAACAAATCGAGTCAATTTAGGATAAAGATAATGTAGATGTAATAAATTTACCTAAGTATAAGCTTAACAAACAAAAAAACAATTTGTACATAACACAATAGAGTGTAGTATAAGTACTTTATTTATAAGTCTTTCTTAAAAATAAAAAGAAATCAATAAAAGGATTCGATAAAACAAAGAAATTACTTTGTAAATATGTATAAGCTACATTTTCCACTTCAGTCCGTATTTATTGTAAATGTATAAAAGCATTTCTTAGAATTTAAGTGACAATAATAACAAACTGCCTCTTACAAATTATTATAGTTGTTAATGTTTTTTCTTTTTTTGTTATTGCGTATGGTTAAATATGTCTCTCCAACAACATTGAAGGATAGTAAAATATGCCTTTTGATCTATTCGTTCCATAATTTTCTCGAAAACAGTAAAACTAATTCAAATGAATAACCACATTTAATTTTTTGTCAAGGAATTAATAGCAAAAATAACTAAAAAATGTAAATAGAATAAAAACTACTGATTTATTCAGAATTATAAAAATTTATTTTTATAGCACTTTTATTTTGGTTCTTAAAAATAAAAATTAATCTTTAATATGACTTTCATATACCTCAAATAACATAGTAAAATATGGTTTCATTTCGTACACGAGACGACATCTATTAGACAATGGTAAAAGCTAACTAAAGTAATAACAATTTTCTGGAAAAGTGCTACAGAATCACTTGAAAATTACAGTTCGCTGCAACGAGACATCTATCGGAGAATAGTAAAAGTTATATTCACAAGAATGCAGATTTCTGGTGGATCTATATATTATTTAAAAAATCTTGCAACAGAAAAACAAAATTTATATAAATTTTCATATATAATTTTTGAACATACGAATTCATTCTACTATTCTTCAATGGTACGTTATGTATCTGTCTATGATATCTGCTGCTTTCTTTTTTATGTATTATCTATGACACGGGTCTATCTTATCTATGGTGTTTATGCCATAGATAAGAGACATAATAGCATCCACGTTTACTAATAATAATTTAATATATGTCTATGCATAATAGTAAGTTATTATCTTTAAACAAGACTACAGGTGTTCCACTTCACTTCAATGGTTATTATATATCTTTAATCTATGGGTCTATGCTAATGCCTATGGTTCACACTGACAGTTCGTCGCCATATAATTTTGCAGTGTTACTTAAAATTAGTTTTGATTGGTTTTAACTATTTTTCATGTTCTATTCATTAATAGTGCAGCTAATTAGTTTTTGCTTATTCCCTTCTACAGATTGTTCTATATACACGAAAGTGCATTGAAGTTTATTTCGCTATTACAAACTAATCACAAATGAATGGTATACAGTGAATGATGAGTCCCTCATATTCCTGAACCTCTTTGACTTTTGTCCTATTAACGTGGAGACGTCTTGTGGTTTATTAAGGTAAGAATGTATGACCTAATTAAAATGTCAGAAAGTAAAAAAAAAAAGTAGGTGCTTATTATCAATGTACAAGTTTTTCTTTTGATGCTCAACATTACTGTCTTGCATTCTGCTCTCACCTTCTGTACTATTCATAAGACTAATAACAAATTATTAGTATGTGATATTATATTGTTGTAGTAGTCCCCTTTCACTCCAGAACATACCATCACTTCAATCAACCATGAAAGTGCCTAAAACGACGACATCACTTTATGAACAGAAACCTTCATATGGCNGTAGAACTCGTAGGGTAAATGCAAAGCAAAATAGTAAGAATATGCAGTAATGATGCTCAAACTAACTGTCTTGCATTCTGCTCTCACCTTCTGTACTATTCATAAGACTAATAACAAATTATTAGTATGTGATATTATATTGTTGTAGTAGTCCCCTTTCACTCCAGAACATACCACCACTTCAATCAACCATGAAAGTGCCTAAAACGACGACATCACTTTATGAACAGAAACCTTCATATGGCTTGAAAGTGTTCCTATCCATAGGAAAAGTGGTAATTGTACCATATCTTTCTCATGTGTTATCGTCTTGAATCAAATTGAAGGTAAATTTACTATTTTCATTTTACAACTTATTTCAAGGAAAAAGTGGTAAAGGTTAATAACATCATATTGTAATGTATTTGTTAATAAAACAGTGATGCAGCAACATAGAAAGGAAGTTTCTTTACTCATTCATGCTATAATTTTCTGTTGGAAATTTGTTATAAACAAATCAATTTTTAACTGAATTCAAGAGAAAAATAGTAAGAAATTAACATCAGTTGTAATGAATTTGTTAATAAAACAGTAGTTCAGCAAGATGGAAAGAAAGTTTCTTTAAACATTAACACCATAATTTTCTGTTGGAAATTTGTTATAAACAAATTATCAATTTTNATCTTATTCTTCCACCTTTTCTTTTAGTGTATTCTTATAAGTCCTAAGATGTTGAATGTCACTGCAGTTTTGATGTAATTGCACTTGCAAACTAGCACATTTTGCTATCCAAACTATAGCCTGCCTAAATTTTGCTTGAGCTTGATGAAGATTCTGAGGAACTAATACACCAAACCACTTTATCGGATTTACTATATTGGAATTGCCATGTGCAGTGTCATTTTTGTATTCTAAGTCAAATACATTATCTTTTGTGAGGTCTTCACTGTCACGATTAACTACAACTAACGGATCTATATTTGTACTATTTTCGGTAGGTAACTGCAGGGCTGAAACTTGATTGTGTCCCATAATGTATCTTGCTTTTGCCAAGTGTAGCTCTCCATCGCTCATTGAATTTTCTACACAAACTTTTAATCCAATTGTTTCTTGTATTAGTGTTACGGAATCTAGAGTTAATTTATCTAGTATAGTGCATACTTTATCTAGTTCCGTCTCCATATTTAGCGAAGTAATTTAGCATAAAACGTTCAACCACATTAAATTATAGCACTACTATTTAACTGATAATAATGACTGGAATTTTTATTTTTTTGCCACTTCACCCAATTAACAACTGCATTAAAATGTGAAGGTAAATAAAGTTAGCCTACACGACCATTACATAAGCACGTGACAAGTGTGCGCGATTGCCACCTCGAATTTACTACATGAATGTTCATTATTTTCGATTATTTTCACATTTTTACATATAGAATTTTTACATACAATTATTAGTTGCTACATTGTTTCATATTTAATCGTAGTGTCGTATTAAATTTTTTAATTATGATTTAATTGGTTTTTAGTTTTCATCTTTAGTGGATGTCGACAATTGATACCAGTCTAGAGTGCCAGTCAGTGTGCATCTTTGGTGTGTATGATGGACGTCGTTAGGAAATAGCATTTAAAGGTAGGTGACTGCATGTGCTTCATTGTTTTAATTATCTATGGTTTTAATAATGCATGATAAATGTATTAATTGGTTTTTTAACTGAAATCAAGGGAACAATTTTATCATAATTTTCTGTTGGAAGTTTGTTATAAAGAAATTATCAATTTATAACTTAATTCCAAGGAAAAATGTTAAGAAATTATTAACATCAACAGTATGAATTTGTTAATAAAACAGTGGTTCAGCAAGATAAAAAGAAAACTTCTTTAAACGTTAATACCATAATTTTCTGTTGGAAATTTGTTATAAACAAATTATCAATTCTTAACTGAATTCAAGGGAACAATTTTAAAAAGTATCTTCATCTGTAATGTTTATGTTCACCAAGAATCTACGTAAATTTTATTTTTAATTATGTTACTTGGAAATATTGCATTAATATTTAGAAATTGATAGAAGTAGTCAAAATATTCGGTTAGTGTTGTAGTAGTTTTGTTGGGGTATTTTTTTTAACGGTGAATCGGTTTCTGTTTACGAATTGAACTGAGTTAGTATAATTGAACGCACCTATAAAACCTGTAATCTACGTTTCATAAATATAGAAGGAAATATTATCATCTTTGGATCTTCCGGCGATCTCGCTTAATAATGATGATGTCATTTTGTCTTCGCTGTTTGAGACGACGGTTCAGCTTTTTTGATATCCGTAAACGAAGACGACGCCTGAAAGTTTTTAGCCCTAATTGTTCTTCGGTTTTCATTTGATTGTGTGGAATAATTTTTATATTTAGTAATTGATGGGGTTCGATTAGCGTTGCATAAATTTTTTTGGTGTGAACGACTTCGGTGGCGTGCTGGTTTCGTATTGCAACATGGAATTCTATCTTGGCATGTTGCATGTCTACTCATCTACTGTAAATTTTTAGATTCTCCGTTTATTTAAGGTCGATGAATTACGATTTTTGAAAATAGTTTTAGGCGATGACTATCGATTTTTNACGATAGCGTGCATCTAAGGTAGTCTAGCAACTATTTATTGTTAACATCATTGGGTATCTATTATTTCTATTGTACCTATGCTTTTAACTTTTATCTATGAATAAAATGACATAGGCCTTCATTTTGTAATTTGTTATTTACTTATTTTCTAGAGTAAATTTTTTGTGTTTGACTTAGGCGTATTTAATGCCTTCCTTAATTAACAATGTAATTAATATGTTGTTTTTGTCATTTCTGCAGATTATCCAACAAATGAAAGAGACTAATGTTCAACCATATTTGAATTATAAATTTGTTTACTTCAGCATTACTTACTTATTTACTTTTTAACATTTTGTTTTCGTGATGACATTTTCTTAATTGTGAGACTAAATTATTTATTATTTATATGAACATTGTTGTAGCTGTCCAGTTTTACTTAAGAATGTTTCAGTACTTGGAAAGAAGGGTGAATGTGTCTTTCTTTCACTGGGAACAGATACCATGTTAACTGTTACAATAGTTTAACGTCTTCAGTGGCACCATCATAAAGGTAAATAGCAATTTTAAAGATAATTTGTTGTCAATTTGCTTTTCTCGGCCTCTTTAATTACTGTATTTAGGTTAGTTAGAAAGCAATTGAAATTTCATCTTCATTTTATTTGTCTTTTGTGTCATTGTCTACCATACATACTAAATTATTTATATTTGAGTATTGTTACATGTAACAATGCATTTTACAAGAGCTTTACACAAACTTTTGATGGTGGATGTCTTCAGGCATTACTCAGCTATTCTCTCACTCCAGAAGTATCTGATCAAAGAAGCAATAATGTACACTTAAAACAGGCAATGTGGTATCTTTTGCCAGAGAAAGGATTTACAAGGATGAATTGGCTGTGCCTTGAGTGCACTAGGGGTTAACACAAACAGGAGGGTAAGTGACAAAATAATTAAAATTAATTTGACTTTGGTTCAAGAGAAAATGATCTATTAAACGGCTTATGAATGTATACAGGTATAAATTCTTTTATAATTTTTATTTATTGCATATAATACAATCTTACAATTCAACTATAAAATGAAGTTTCTTATATCCGTTTTACGACTAACCATGTAAAAAGAATAGGTACTCAAACAAATTTCTTAGAATAAACAATAGGTAAGACAAAACAATACAATACTAGGTTAATTATTTTATGAAGTTGTATTTACGAAATGGTTTGTGATTTTCCAAATCTTGTATTCCATTTGTTTGACAATAGTTACCAGTATAAATTTTTACACTTCTGAATTGTAATAGTTAAGTATTGATTTTGATAGTGT